ACAGGATCTCAATATGAAGTTCAAGCTGGCCTTGAACTTATGGATTCCAGGTGAGCCTGGAACTCATGGTGATCCTCCTGCCTCAGCCACCTGGATGCTGGGCTAGCCATGTACCACCCAGAAGATTTGTGGGGCAATATGCATTAGTATATATGCACCATTCTACAAGAAAAGGGAAACACATCATTACAGGTCAGAACCACAAGTCACAGTGCTGAGCACGCACTGGAAGGTGGGCAGAGGGGACTGTGGACTCTGAGTGCCTCGGACATGTCCAGGAGGGTCACTGATTATCATAAAATGTGCTAAACCCAGCTGGGCATGGTAGGGATGTTGGTCACCCCAGCGCTCAGGAGGCTGAGGCAAGAGGATCGCTGCTAGTTCGAGCCCAGCCTGGGCTACACAGCAAGATGCTGTCCCAAAACAAAACAACACATCCAACGTGCTAACAGGAGTGGGATGTTGATGAGGTACAGCTGTACATCTTGTAGGGAGGGGTGACAGATGGGAATGCTCAGAAGTTTTTGCTGTTTCACTGTGAATCTAAAACCTGCTCTAAAGGGGCCGGGGGGGATGGCTCAGTGGAATAAGCGCTTCCCTAGCAAGCACAAGGGTCTGAGCTCAATCCCCAGTTCCGCCAAAAAAAAGAAAAAAGAAAAAAACCAAAAAAAAAAACCTGCTCTAAAAATCTAAAGTCTGGGGGTCAGGGGATGGCTCAGTGGAATATGCGCTTCCCTGGCAAGTGCGAGGGCCTGAGTTCAATCCCTGGTTCCACAAAATAAATAAATAAATAAATAAAAATAAAAATCTAAAGTCTGTTTTTAAAAACGAAAGAAGAAATGTCAGTGGTTGACATCCTTTGACCATAACAGCTCTCCAGAAATAATCTAGGGACTGGGGCTCAGGGGACAGCATTTGCCTAGTACACACGGTGGTGGGAAAGAAAAGAAAAAGAAAAAAAGAATTGCATAAGAGGTGCCCAGCACTGGTTTAAAAAAAAAAAAAAAAAAAAGGAAGAGGAAAGAAGTCCACATTGGAAAAAATCCTGGCAGCTGTCAGAAGGGATTGCTTAAATAAATACCGTCCGTCAACACTGGGAGAGTGCTGAGTGGCTGCCTTATTTTTTAAAGGACAAGGACAAAATGAAAATAAGCAGGCTGCAAAACTACCTGCAAGAACAAATACATATGGCGAAGCGTGGTGCAAACACACTCCTGTCATCCCAGCGCCCAGGAGGCTGAGGCAGGAGGAGCGCCACAAGTAATGCAAAAATGTGAAAAGCTGGGGAGGTCTCTCAGAGCAGGAGTCCTGCGCCTTCCTAGTGCAAACAGCATCAAGCACTGCACAAAGCCTTGGACACCTGTGAGATCTACAGACAATAAAAGTTATCAGGGGGCTGGTGAGATGGCTCAGTGGTCTAAAGCACCTACTTAGAACAAGCTTAGCAAAGCACAGGGACC